GCAACAAAGAACGGTCCTCTTGAAACCGGAGCAATTTCATCTCCGAGCAATGAAATCAACATTGACTGTTGATTCAACTTTTCTCAAGCAAATCCAGTCCAGTATGTCCTCAGACCCTCTTGTTCATGATATCGAGAATAATTCTTCGAAGTCTCATGATCCTTCTAAGTTCGAGTTCAAGAATAATCTATTATATTGTGAAGGACGCCTATATGTTCCAGAAGGAGAAGCACGTTTACGTGTTCTTCAAGCACGTCATGACTTTCCAGCAGCAGGGCACTTTGGATATAATAAGACTTTGGAACTCATATCAAGAGATTTTTGGTGGCCACAAATGTGGAAGTCAGTCAAAGACTTTGTACAATTATGTGATATTTGTTCAAGATCAAAAATTCCTCGTCATCGACCTTACGGACTTTTTCAGCCATTACCTATACCAGAGCAACCATGGTCTTCTGTTTCTATGGATTTCATCACAGATCTTCCAAGCTCAAGATCTTATGATTCTATATTTGTGATAGTAGATTGTTTCACGAAGATGGCACATTTTGTGCCATGTATAAAATCTATCACAGGTGAAGAAACAGCTAAGCTTTTCATTGATAATATCTATCGCTATCATGGATTACCTAAAGATATCATATCGGATAGGAGAACTCAATTTGTGTCAAGATTTTGGAGGACCCTTTTCAAGATTTTAAAAGTGGACATAAAGCTATCTTCGGCTTTCCATCCTCAAACTGATGGACAAACAGAGCGCGTAAACCAAGTCTTGGAGCAATATTTAAGGTGTACTATCAACTACCAACAAGATGATTGGACAACCCTTCTGCCATTGGCAGAGTTTGCTTATAATAATACGGTACATTCTTCCACATAACAAACACCTTTCTTTGCCAATTATGGCTATCATCCACGACTTGATACTTTTGATTTTTCAAAAGTTGATAATCCTGCAGCAGAAGATATGGCAAATCGGTTGTCAGAGTTACATGCAATAATGAAGACGCAATTGAAGGAAGCTCAAGAACGACAAAAGATAAACGCAGATCTATATCGTAAGGAGCAACCACAACTCAACGTGGGTGATAAGGTATGGCTACTTCGTCGCAATATCAAGACTACTCGATCTTGTGACAAGTTGGACTATCATAGGCTTGGCTCCTTTTTTGTTTCTGAACAGGTCAACCCAGTTGCATATCAGTTACATCTACCGGAGTCAATAAAGATCCATCCTGTATTCCACGTGTCTCTTCTTGAACTATATAAGACAGTGGATATACAAGGAAGAAGACAAATGCCACCGCCTCCTATAGAAGTAGATAATAATGAAGAATTTGAGGTGGAAGAGATATTAGACTCAAGGCGGCGCCAAAATAAGCTAGAATATCTTGTTCATTGGCGCAGATATGATATTAGTGAACGCACATGGGAGCCATCCAGGAATCTAGCAAATGCATCAGCTAAAGTCAAAGATTTTCATCAACGACATCCATCAAAACCAAGATGAAAATCTCTCTTATAAAAGAGACAAGATTGAGGCAAGATAACATTCAATTTCCTATCCTTGTTTGTAACTTCTTTGCATTTGTGATCCTAATTAGATGGAGAGCCAACAACCAGCGGATTCAACTCAAGAACCTTCGTTTACTGACCTGTCGGACGAGACATTACGATTGTTACAACCTTCAAGATGACGCAATCGAGATGAAGATCTTCAAGAACGACATGTTCTTCCTCGAATAGATGGTGAGATACAACGCGTTTGGTATCACGATTTGGGAAGGGACTCCTGATGTTTGGTGATTTTGCTAGAGGTAGGAACAACTTCTGATGGTGTTCCAAATATTCTATTCGAAGGAAGTTACGAAGGCCTCAACAATGATCAAATAACTGGGTGGTCTTCCCGTCCTAGTATGGGACACTACCGATGGTTGAGAGGCATTATCAATCATCTTCGAAGAGAACAGAGATCAGAGTATATGGCGAATATAATTCGTCGCATCATAGATTTCCTCAACATATGATGACCGCTCCTCGTGGAACTCATCTCTAGAAGGGGGGGTAATGTCACGGCCATAATCATGTAAGCTAATAATTACATATAGAAATAGGTAGAAGTAAGTAAAAGTAGATAAAAGTAAGTTAATTCTATAATATTTAATATAGAAGCTTCCTAGAAACTTCCTAGATACTGCTTTGACTTCATAGGTATCTTTAATTGACTTTTTGGATTAGAAACGTGGTCAATAAGTTGGCCATGTGCCACACATGTTGTTAGCTTGAAGATCAAGCTAACTATGTGGCCCACACGTAGAAAAACTTGCCTTGTAAGTCAAGGCATGTGTCTTACAAAGTCAATACATATTGAAGGTCCTATAGAACGTCGCCACGTAGCCCCTAGTTAGATAGTATATATAGAGACAAGAGTGAAGGCTTCTTCACTCTTGTCAACTCTTTTCTTGCTTCTAGTCCAGGTTCAAGAGTCTTTAGTTTCTTGTCTTGTGGCAATAGCCATTCCAGTTTCCTTTCAATATACCTACTTGTTTATATTTTGACTTATTATATCGAGATAGCCTTTTTGTGTATATTTTTCCTCATCGAGTCTTTGTCCTTGACACTTATGTGGCTAATAAGATGATATCTTTGTCTTGTTTTTATAAGAATTATGTAGTTTCTACAAATTGAGGTCAATATCTCTGTCTATACTCATTCATGTTAACTTCTCTATTATAGTTACAACATTTCTTGAAGCATCATTCAATGATTTAATAGAGATGCATAGAAGCAATTTGACTTATAGATTTCTTGTTGATAAATTTGATGACAATGATGTTAAATATGCAAAGAATTCTTTTAGTTGCATTGGTAGGAACTAGCTAATAGCCAAAATAATTGTTAAGTTAGCAATGGCTTGATTCACTACAAAACCTCCTCAATAAACCATGACCACAATTACAATAAGCAAAGGCCCAAATACAAAATTAGATGACTTTGTGATCCACATTATTACATTCTTGTTCATGACTTCATCTCTACATGGTGAGTTCAACATCTTGTGAATAAGTGATGAAGTTAGAAAATCAAGACTTTGAGGATCTAAGCTCTTTGCACATTTCCTTTCTTACTTTCAACTTAGAACTTCACTCCTTGTGTAGAACAAAGCACTTTTTTCTTCTTGTCTTGATCTGTATCTTGCAAAACAATTCTCCAATAATATCCTATTTTGTTAGAAGCTTTATAGTTATCTTTAGAATTTTACTACACATTCATGTATTAGTGCGGAGACATTGTGTGATAATGGATCTTTAACAAAAAATTGAATTTGAAGCAAAGGCTTTATGTAGTCTAAATTTTTTGAGATTCAAAAGTTATATACCTCGTTGTCTTTTTTGAACTTATAAATGTCTTACTTCTAATGTGGCCAATTTGGTACTTAAAGTTGATAAGATTAATGACCTTTGTTTAATATTAGTTTAAACTTATATTTAATCTCTGATAGTAAATTCAATTTAATCAATTTAATCTCTAATTGGCTACATTTTTTTTATTAAAATATTTTTTTATGAAAAGTTTTGCTTCATTGTAAATTTTTAATTGAAAAAATAATAATTGATTGATGTAACCAATGAAACGACAAATTTTTCTTCTTGCTTAATTTTATTGATTCATATCCACTCAATGTGTTTTATAATAGAAATTCTATAGCTCCATATTTTTAGACCTTGAATTTTTTTGTCTTTATAAATATTTTTCAAATTAAAGTTTTTGAATAATTAAAAAATGAAATATTTTATTTTATTTCTATTATTATTTATTAATGTCAAATAATAATTAAAAAAATCTCACTTAAAATCAAAACTAGTCATTTGTTTTTAGAGGTGTGTATATAGGTAGAATCTTCTTAATAGTTCTTTTATTATATTTCTTTATTTTTTTATCAATATGATTTGGATTTTTTTTATATAAGAAAAACTAATACATATATTTTTGAATATAAAAAATTAAATAATAATAGAAAAAATATTAATTAAAATTTTATTATTTTCTTAAATTTAAATAGAATTATATTAAAATTTAATGATCTTTTGCATTCTTAAAATTATTGTTGAATAGAAAAGCTGGGTTCTAAAAAATTAAATTTTGGTGGTTTATTTTATACCCTTGAAAAATAAAAAAAAAAGAATTATAACAGACGTTTTAAAATTTTAATTACAGTAAATTTATAAAGAGAATGATCATAAAATACATATCCTATCCAAAATTGCTTATCTTATAAATTCAATAATTATCAATATGTTACAACATGCTTATTTATAAAATACATGATCATAACTAAGTAAATGCTGGAAATTCTGTTAAGATCATGATAAAAGGTCATTAAATTTAATACTATTTTTCTAAAGACTGTAAAAAAAATTAAGTTTTATTTAATAGATAAATAAATAAAATTTTTAGTATATAATATCAAATCATCATCATATATATATATATATATTTTTTGTTAATTCTATATCTATATATACTTTTTAAAAGAACAACTTATGTAAGTTTTGACATTCGGTTTCTATTATTTTCTTTTAAATATATATTTTTAAAAATAATATTATATTTTTATCAATAAATATTTATTATTCATTTTAATTTTAATGGTCGTATAATATCATTAAATAAGTTTAAAATAATTATTAGAAATTAAAAATATATGTATAAATCATTTATTTATTTTTGTCATTTTGAGATTTTTTTTTTTTTTTTTTTTTTTTTTTCTGAATTCTGAGTATACACATGATTAGAAATTTTTCAGTTTCTGTGATACATGTGTATGTATGTATGTCTATATATATATATATATATATAGATCAATTTATTTGATAGAAATTTAATGTCATTATTTGAATTTTATATAATTGCACTTTGTACCTATCTAAGAAACCCCAAAAAAGTAATTTTTAATACAAGAAAAAAAACCAATACATGATATATAAATCATGTATTAATCTCCGCGCACCAGTTCCAGGTTAAGCTGAGGGTGTCGTGGGTTAAGCGGACTGCCGCGTGAGTGCAAGTGTTGGAGGATTCCAGTGTCAAGGCCTTGACGGGATCTGAAGCGATAAGGAGATAATAGCCATACCTGGACGGTGCGTATGAAAAATAGCTTTGCCTCTGTGCCTGGGTCGGTGAGGGTTTGCTGTGAGGGTTGATGTGCAGGTTCACACCGTCAGTTGGTGGGCTGTAGAGAAGTTGCTCTGCTGGGTCTGCATTGTTTTGTTGTTGTGGTTGCTGCTCAGTCACGATTGCATACGATGGAGGGCGTCTGAGATTTGCTTGTGAGTTTTGGTGTGTTTGTGGTGGTCTTGAGGGGCAGAGTGGACGATGGTGTTCATGTTATGGGTTTTGAAGATGCTTGCCTTTCCTGTGGCGGATTACTGATCTCCATGCTTGTGCACGTGATTAGAGTTGAGTGGGATGCTGTTACAGGAAAGCAATTTGGTGATGGCTTTGTTGTGGTTTTAAATATAGGAGGATTGTGTTGGCACTAGAAGTTAGGATACAGGAATGTGTTATTTCACCTTTGCATGAGTAGTTTTTTTCGTATAAAGTTATCACTTTCCGATCTGCGGCGTGATGGCATTGATACGAAATTGTTCAAACATCAGCTCGCATCTCACAAGTGCACTGTCTTGAACTGCCCTACACGACACCCTCTTCTGAAGAACACGACAGTACAGGGTGTAGGGGTGCTTTGCTGAGGATGTCGTGGATTGAGGGGATTGTAGCGTGAGTGCAAGTGTTGCAGCATCCTAGGGTATGGCACACCAAGGTATGTGGCTCCTGAAGTATTAGAGAATGAAGACAAGTGCATGAAAACATGTGCTTTTGAAGCAAATATATTCTCATTTGCAATGACATGTTCAAAAATTCTTTTTAGAAAAGAGCCATTTTATTGAATTTTTAAATTGAAAGAAATATTGAAAAAGATAAGAAAAGGAGAAAGATCAGTACTACCTTCAAATTGTGATCACAATTTCATCAATTTGATTAAAGAATGTTATAGTTTTAATCCTCCACAACATCCAAAGTTTGGAGATATATGTGAGAGACTTATAAGTTTGAAGATAAAGTTTTTGATTGGATTTTATGAAGATATGTGTCCTTCCTAAAGTGCTTCTAAGAAGAAAGATTACCAAAATATTAAAGAAAAGAAACATGTGGTGAGGATGAAGTGATAAAGTTTGTGGTTATTCATGATTTGTTTATTTGATTGGTAGGTGTAGACACAAAATAGATTAAAGTGGTTGAATAGTGTATGTAAAAAAGACATGTTTTTATGTAAAAATATTACATGTGTAATGTGTATGTTTTGATGTAACAATTGTGGTTGTTTGTGTATGTACATTTGCAAAAAGACCAATTATTAGGTAGACAAGACTAAAACAAGTTGTTAGAGCTATGCAAAAAAAGTATAAAGGCAATACATCTAGCTGACATGGATAGAATAGGTAAGATAACAATAGCAAAGTTAACATATAATGATGTAAAGTATATGTAAAATATTTCATGCTTTGTTGAAAACATTTAGAATAATGGTAATAGCTACATTATTTGTTGCAACATTTTGAAAAAATTTAAGGTTGAAGAAACACCAAAGACTTTGAAAGATGCTTAAGAGTTATTGAAATCACACTTGATGACAAAGAAAACAATCTTGGTCTTTAAAGGTGTGAAGCAACAAAGTGAAATTGAAGATGTTTTGTCTATAGATGTATTGTTTGCAAGCAATGGAAGCACTTTGATTGTAATTAGATGACATTGAAATTCCATGAAGTACTCTTCAATAGAGATTCATAGAGTGGATATTGAAGAACTTAAAGAAGATGCAAGTTTAGAGTTGTTTATTATTCATTTTCATAGAAATCCAATTGAATTGCCTAAAAAATTTGATGGTATAGGTAAAAAGATTACAAAAGCATGCAATGGCTTACTTTTGAGCTTGAAAGTTATCGGAGCATTTTTGAGAGGACAAATGAAATTAAGATGTTAGCAGCAATCTTTACAAAAGTTAAAAAAAGTAAGAAATGTAGATGGAGATGAAAAAAATAATGACCATTAGATTTGGAAAATATTAAAAGTAAGCTTTGATAACTTAAAAGTTTAAGAAAAGAACATGTTTATATATATATATATATATATATATATATAATATTAGTAATGTGTATCTACATAGGATATTAAAAGAAAGAGCATTACGAATATGGATACATAATGAGAAATTGGAATTGGAGGAAGATGTGGAATATACATTGGACACATTGATATGTCATTTATTGCTGAAAATAGATGAAGATGGAATTATGAAGGTGCATGGCTATTTACAAGACATGGATCAAATGATTGTTGAAACAAACAATGTATATAAAGACATAAGAATATGAAAAATGAGTATGGTACCAACTAATAGATTTTCAACAAAGGTACTTGAATTATCATATGTTTACATGACATGCACAAAATAAGGAATGATTATAAATAGTTTATATGTAATATTTGTAGATATGATGTTATATCATTATTTTTATTAGATGATATGATAGTATGTATATAATTGTGATAAATCTTGTAATATTATTTAATTTTTATTAATATTAAATAAATAAAAGCATATAAGTTGTTAACTTTAATTTAATTTTGTTTTATTTTTTGGAAATTAGAAGATTTATGTATCAACAACAAAGAGAATATGAAGCAAAGTAACATTAGTAATATAAATTTTACTTTGTTAAGACTATTGAGTTAATCAATTAAGAAAAATATATTGAAAGATGATATAGGAGTCTTGAATATATTAATGTTATTGGTGAAGCAATCATGTAGATTAAAATCACTTATACTTTATATAGATTTGCCAACAACTATGTCAAATGACATTGTGGGCAATTTATTTTCTATGATATTTGATAAAGAAGCTTTAGAAAAGTTAAAGAATCTAACTATTTTATAATTAAAGAATTTTAAGTTTTTTGAAATATTTCTAAATTCATTATTTATAATGGATATATTATTAAAAATTAATTTAAAAGATTGTTTAAATTTAGAAATATTATTTAAAAGTATACATGGTCTAACGTCATTAAGGGTCTTGAATTTGAACGGATGAATAATATTAAAGGCACTACAAAAACAAAACTTAGTTTCTTTGCAATGGTTTAGTATTGAAGGATGTTATAACTTGACATCATTGCCAAATGAATTAGGGAACCTTACATTTTTGACATCACTTAATATAAATAAATGTAGAAATTCAATATTATTGCTAATAGAGTTAAGCAACCTTATATCTTTAATAATATTTGATATATTTTGTTGTAAGAATATTATATCATTGCCAAAGGAATTGAATATCCCTACATCTTTAACATCATTTGATATAAGTAAATATAGAAACTTGACATCATTCCCAAAAAAGTTAGGCAGTCTTATAACTTTGACAATTTTTGATGCAAATTTTGGTGAAAACTTGATATCATTGCCAAAAGAGTTGGACAACTTTATATCTTTGACAATATTTCTAATAAGTAGGTGTAAGAAGTTGATATCATTATCAAAGGAATTGAGCAATCTCACATCTTTGATAACATTTGATATAAATGTCATGGATATATATATTTATTGATATAAGAAGTGCTAAGTAGAAAACAAATATGAATAAATTTGATATTATTTTATGGCAAAGCTTCTTAGAAGCTTCATAGATACATATTTGACTTTATATGTGCTTATAATTGATTGATAAATTAGAAACTTGGATAATAGGTTAGCCATATATAGCACATGTAAGTAGTTTGTAGTATAAGTTAATGATGTGGTGTGCATATAGAAAACTTGTCTTGCAAGTTAAGATATGTGTCTTGCAAATTAGAAATGTGGTGAAGGTCTTATAGAATGTTGGCATGTAGCTTTTAGTTAGATAGTATATATGGAGGTAAGAATGAAGCCTTTTTTATTTTTGCCAATGCCTTTTTAATCCTTAATCTTATTTCAAGACTTAACAATAGCCATTCTAATTTAAGATTATACTATTTTTGAGTGATTCTTTAATCTTTTTAAGTGACACAAGAATACATTGATCTTTTAGTTCTATGAAATTTATATCCTTAACAATTTAAAAAGAATGTTAACTTATTATTCTTATTTTATTTTTAAAAATAAATAGATTATATTACTTTTTTTGTTGTATTTTGAAGGTTACAGATTACCTACCTTTAAATTAATATTTAATTTTCTAACAATAATTTTTTTTCTTTAAAAAAAAAAAGATTCTTTTTCTTTGTGGAATTTTTTATTTGATATTAGAAGTTATAGTTTATCCTCTTCTAATTTGACTTTTCAACTTATTTGAGTTGTCCAAGGAAGGAAAAATTATGGATGTTACTTTTGATAGAAGTGACAATAGATTTGTAACTATTGTAAATCTTCACATATTTATTAATATTTTTAAAATAAAAATTTTATATATTTTTAATATGAATTATAGAAGTACTATTTTTACGTCCATAGAAGAAGTCCATAATGAGATTCAAAGACTACACCAAGAAGTTGTGTAATTGAAAGAAGCAAATAGATCAAGTTCACAATCAAATTTGAAAAGCCTTGCTACTATAAATACACAAGATTCAAGGATAAGTATGCATGAGAAGTTTGATAGAACAAGATAAAAGTTTTGAAGATTTCTACAACAAATGAAGCTTTATTTAAGGTTGCATCCTTTCTAATATCCTAATGGATTTACTTAAGTTAGATTCATAAGTTTACTTCAATTTAAGAATATTTTTTCTTAATTTGTACCTTTGATAAAAAAAGATTCAAAATTATTTTATGATTTGAATTCATTTTTAGAAGTATTTACGACTACATTTAGAGTAAGGGATTGAAAAGGCCAATAAAGATAAAACTTGTATCTTTATAATAAGGATCTTGTTCAACTACTATATATGTTGGTAAATTCTAAAACCTTTATTTGCAATGTGGATTTGAATGATAAAGCCCTTATCAATTAATTTTGATATAGATTAAAAAATAAAGCTAAGAATTTATTATTAATAATGTTATGAAAAAACTCATTGAAGGAGTTTATTGCTCAAATCATTGAATTAAATAATCGATTTTTTGAAAGATGCTAAGAATAAATATTTGGTTAAAAAGGTACAAATCAAGTCATGGCAATACTTTCTAAGTTTTTGAAAGCTTATTCATCTATGCCAAAACATATGCAAATTGACATAATATGTTTTAAACTTCATATTGATCAAGAAAAGATCCAACATTATCAAAAAGATTTGTACATATATTGTAAAAAACTTAAAAATACTGCTCAGCATTATCTAAAGAAACAATGTAATCAAAAAATGATGAGCATGGTTGCCAAAGAAAATGTTTCAAAGAATACATTTTTTCAGCTACAATAGAGATTGTGCACTTAAAATCTTATGCAATACATAATAAAGGTCTTATTCTTTCTTCAAATCTTTCATCTTGTTTTATAATAGAAGTTTTTGTAGGATCAAAAAATCATAAAATCTTTATTTTTTTAGATTTAGAAGCCTTAGCTTATTTTATAGATAATTTTTTTGTCAAAAAATAAAAAATATCCTTAATCAAAAAAATAAAACCTACACATGTAGAAGTCATAAATGGTCATTTATTATCCTCTAAAGATATTATTTATGAAATAATTCCTTTAGATGTAGCAAGTAAAGATTATAATAGATTAACAATATTTAATATTATTAAATCTCTTTTTAATGTAGTTATTTTATGATAATTGTGGTTAAATAATAATCTTCAAATAGATTAAATTTCTTATAACCTTAATTTTTCTTATAGTTTAGTCAAAGATTTTGCTAATCAAGTAAAAATCCTACTATCTATACCTATTTTTGATGGAAAAAAGACTTGAAGTGGCATTTCAAGCTAACATTAAGATTGTCAAGATATTTTTAAGAAAAAAAATGATGATATTTTTTTAGAGCATCATCCTTATGACTATTTCATTAATCTTTAAGAAGAAGCTCAACCACCATTCAAACCAATCTATAGCTTATTACAAAATAAATTGGCTACATTCAAGGAGTATATTGATAAAAACTTACCTAAAAACTTCATGTACCATTCTAAATCTCTAATAGGAGCTTATAGGTTATTTTTAAAGAAAAAAGATGGATCTATGTAGATGTGTGTAGACTATTGAATATCCAACAAGGTTGCTATTAAAAATAGTTAACCTTTATTTTTGATTTCAAGACTTTTCGATCAATTTAATGAAATAAAGATCTATATAAAAATAGATCTATAAAGAGAATATAATCTAATATAGATCAAAGAAGGAGATGAATAAAAAATTATATTTTTAATCAGATATGAATATTTCAAATATAATATCATGCTTTCGGACTCATAAATATATCAACTACTTTTCAATATCTAATGAATGATGTCTTTTGTGAAATTTTTGATGATTTTGTTGTTTATTATATAAATGATATTTTAATCCATTCTAAGAATATAAAAAAAATATGAACGTTATATTTGTCGTGTATTACAAAAATTGAAAGATGAAGGATTATATGTCAAGATGAAAATGTGTATATTTTACACTACTCAATTTGATTTTTTAGGATACATCATTTCAAAAAATAGCCTTATGATAGATCTTAAGAAAATGTAGACTATTATAAATTAAAAGATTCCAAAAACAATTTGAAATTTGTAATGTTTTTTAAAATTTATTAATTATTATTAAATCTTCATCAATTTTTTTTCTTAAGTTGTGATTATTCTTACATATTTGGCATGTAAAGATAAACTTGAGTAGAGCAAAGAAGTTGAAGCATATTTTTAAGCTTTAAAGATAATATTTATTTTTGTACCAATCTTGTATTGCATTGACTTTTTCAAGACATTCTTTATAAAAATAGATGCATCAAATTTTACTATAGATGTAATATTTTCACAAATGGAAGAAAATAATAAACTCTACTTAATAGCTTTTCATTCTAAGAAATTTTTAGTAATCAAAATCAATTACAAATCCACAATAAAGAATTTTTTGTAATTATGGATTTATTTCAAGAATAACATTATTATCTAAAAAGTGTTTCTAATCTTATAATTATGTATAAAAATCACAAGAACCTTAAATATTTTATGACAAAATATATTTTGAATCATCTTCAAGCTCATTGGAGCATGTTTTATCAAGATTTGATTTCAAGTTTATTTATTAATCTAAAAAATAGTAATATTTTTAAACATCCTTTTTATATATTTTTATCTTATATTCAAATAAAATGATACAAATTTTGATCAACAAAGAATAATTCTCTTGAAATAGAAGCATTTTTATCTTTAAACAATGAAATCAATATTAATTGTTGATTCAACCTTTCTTAAGAAAGTTCAATCAAGTATGTTCTTTAATATTCTTGTTCATGATATTAAGAATAATTCTTTTAAGTTCCATGATATTTTTAAATTTTAATTAAAAAATAATCTACTTTTGATTTCTCAAAATTTGATTATCTTATGACAAAAGATATGAAAAAATATTTGTTTGAGCTACATACAACAATAAAGACACAATTAAAAGAAGCTCAAGATTAATATAAGACTAATATGGATGTATATTATAAGAAACAATATTAACTCTACATTGGCAATAATATATGATTACTTTATTATAATATCAAGATTAGTTGTCTTTACAATAAGTTGGATAATAATAGGCCTTGATCATTTTTTATACATAAATAAATCAATCATATTATTCATTTATTACATCTATCAAAGTCTATAAAGATCCATCATATATTATATATGTCTTTTTTTAAACTATATAAGATAGTGAATATCTTCAAAAGAAGATAAATGCCACTTTTTCTTATAGAAGTGGACAATAATAAAACATATCAGGTTGAAGAAGTCTTAAACTTAAGATGGTGCCAAAATAGGTTAGAATATCTTGTTCATTGATATAGATATGATATTAGTGAATGCACATGGGAGCTTGCCAAAAATCTTACAAATGTAGCAAAGAAAGTTGATGCTTTTTCATTGATGACATCTATCAAAAAAAAAATAATAAATAAAAAATCTTTATATAAAAGAAATAAGCTCTAAGAAAGATTGCATTCTACATTCTATCCTTCTTTGTAGTTTTTGTGTATTTGTGGCATTAAAGAGATAGAGAATCCACAAACAACACATTTAATTGAAGAGCTATCATTTGGTGACTTATCAGATAAGAAATTATAATTATTAGCCTTCAAGACAACATAATAGACATGAAGATCCTCAAAAACTACACATTCTTTTTCAAATAGATGGCAAGATACAATGCATTTGATATCACAACTTTGGAAGAAACTTCCAATGTTTGGTAATTTTATTAGAGATAGGAACAACTTTTGACTATGTTTCAAAATGTTTTATTTAATAGAAGTTATAAATGCTTCAATAATGATCAAATAATAAGTAAGACTTTCCACCTTAGTATAAGATACTATTGATGGTTGAGAGGACCTATCAACCACCTTCAACAAAAACAAAGATCAAAGTATGTAACTAATATAAATCATTGCATGTTAGATTTCTTTAATATATGATGCTTGATCCTTATGGAAATTATTTTTAGAAAGAAAATAATATCATGGACATATTTATCTAAATAAGAAGTTTTAGATAAAAAGTAAATATAAATAGATTTGATAATATCTTATAGTGAAGTTTTTTAAAAACTTTATAGATGCATATTTGATCTTATACTTATTTATAATTGATTAATAGGTTAGAAGCTTGGCCAAAAAATTAGCCATATATAGTATGTATGAATAGCTTATAGTACAAGCTAATGATATGGCATGTATATAGAAAACTTGTCTTGCAAGTTAAGATATGTATCTCACAAATTAGACATGTGTTGGAGATCCTATCAAATGTTGATGCATAGCTCTTAGTTCAATAGTAAAAATGGAAGAAAAAGTGAAGCCTTCTTCACTCTTGTCAATGCTTTTGTAATTCTTAGTCTTGTTTTAAGACTTTTCTAGTCTTTGTGTTTAACAAAAATCATTTTAATTTAATATTATACCATCTTTGAGTGATTTTCTAGTCTTTTTGAGTGACTCAAGAGTGTATTGATGTCTTAGTTCTTTGAAATTCAAGTTCTTGATAATAAATTGTTGTGAGAATTTAATATCATTGCCAAAGGAATTAAGCAATCTTACTTCTTTGAAAACTTTTAATTTAAGATGGTAAAAGAAGTTGAGCAACTTTATATCTTTGACATCATATGTTATAAGTTATTATAAGAATTTTATGCCATTGTTAAATGAGCTGAACAACCTTACATCTTTGAGAATATTTTATGTAAGTTGTTGTAAGAACTTGACATCATTGTTAAAAGAGTTGGATAACCTTATATCTTTGACATTATTTGATGTAAGTAAATCTAGAAACTTAACATCATTATCAAAAGAATTAGAAAACCTTACATCTTAGATAATATTTGATGTAAGTTGTTGTGAGAATTTGACATCATTGTCAAAGGAATTAGACAACCTTACATCTTTAATAATATTTAAAATAAGTAGGTGCAAGAACTTGATATCATTGCCAAAAGAATTGAACAACTTTACATCTTTGAAAACCTTTGATATTAGATAGTGCAAGAACTTGATATCATTGCCAAAAGAATTGAGCAACTTTACATCTTTGAAAACCTTTGATATTAGATAGTGCAAGAAATTGACATCATTACTAAAGGTATTGGACAATCTTACATCTTTGATAACATTTGATATAAGGTGTTGTGAGAACTTGACATCATTGCCAAAGGAATTGAGCAATCTTACATCTTTAATAATATTTAAAATAAGTAGGTGCAAGAACTTGACATCATTGCCAAAAGAATTGAGTAACCTTACATCTTTGAAAACCTTTGATATTAGATAGTATAAGAAGTTGACATCATTACTGAAGGTGTTGAACAATCTTATATCTTTGATAACATTTGATATAATGTGTTGTGAGAACTTGATATTATTGCCAAAGGAATTGAACAACCTTACATATTTATTTATATTTAAAATAAGTAAGTACAAGAACTTAATATCATTGCCAAAGGAATTGAGCAACTTTACATCTTTGAAAACCTTTGATATTAGATAGTGCAAGAAATTGACATCATTACTAAAGGTGTTGGACAATCTTATATCTTTCATAACATTTGATATAAGGTATTGTGAGAATTTGACATCATTGCCAAAAGAGTTAGACAATTTGATATTTTTGAAAACTTTTAATATAAGATGGTATAAGAAGTTGACATCATTACCAAAGAAGTTGGATAAGTTTATATCATTAATACCATTTAATATAAGTTATTATAAGAAGTTTGCATCATTGCTAAAGGACTTGATCAACCTTATATCTTTGAGAACCTTTGATATATAATATTACAATAAGAGTAATATATTTTTATGGTTTCATTTATAAGAATTTATAAGCTCTTATTGATTTATAAAAATCAATATAAGAATAAAAATCATATTTACAAGTTACAGAGATGAATGAAATCGGATGATTATAATTGGATGAATGACATAGAATGGAATAGGATGGATAGAAATGGATGAATGGAACTTGACGAATGAAATCAGACTTCCGCAGGTGATCGTCAGCCGCTTTCCCACTTGTTTTGAACCAAGGTGTGTTGTATAACAAAGCGCGGTGTAGTGTTTGTGCAGACCCTGATGACTGGTTTAGAGTGTTTTGGAACAATTTTTTTTAGAATTTTTTTGTGTGCCTGTGTAGAGGATCTGATATAAACCTTGATTCAAGACTGTTAGTATCTGGAAGGAATACTGTCACCGACAGCTAATCTGGTTCTTTCAGCTCATTTTGGAATTTCCAACTCTGTGAATGTGCATGAGAATATAGGGACGGAAGGAGTTATGTTCCGGGTTCAGCATTGCTTCATGACGGTCTATTTCCCGCTGCTCCTTGCTTGGATCATTAAAGCGAAGGGGTTGGGAACTGGTAATGAAGACACCAAGAGTCTTTCCAATGAAGCGCAAGATTTTTCGCATTCTGATAGTCGCCTGCTGTTGTTTGGGTACGTATTCTGTTTTACGTGAAAGATTTCATGTGAACGAACGCCATTAATTATGTGCTGGATGCAATTACCGGTTAAGGCAGTAAGAAGTACAGAAAATGATGGATATCCTGGTTTATATGTCTGTTGTGGATGCTTACGACTTAATGTTAGCTGGCGTCCCATATGCGCACCAGTTATTTTGTAAACCAAAATAGGAACCAAAAATGGGAGTCCTCAAGCCACTGGCAAAGTCATTCAAGTTTTACTTTGCAGATTGGTACATTTCCTCCACCGGACTTCAGCACATTCTGGGATAATAATCCAATGTTTATTTCATAAAAAGTCAATCTGAAGAAACTTCCTGTATGGTCATGCACTCTTCACCCTAGCCGCTGTGTAGAGTATGACAACGAACCATGTCATATTGTGTCAAATACAGCTACTATCAAGAGAGCATCCCGCAAGAAATAATTCCTTGTCGTAATCTTGCTCGGTCTGAGAGTTCATTATTGAAAATAATTACAAAAGATCACATGTTGCAATCTACTTGCAGTACAACTGGAATATCTGTACTTGTTTTCAAATGCTCTATTGAATGTAGAAAACGTATTAATCCAATTCTAACCAATCCACGAGGGAGTAAGCACTCAAGTCTTCGTGCTGAACGTTGAAAAGTGAACTTATGTAATGCTTGCGACCAGCTACACTACTTTCATACTTTACTGACGTGCCTCGATGGTGAAATTTATTACGACAAGGACTTATTTCTTTGCTGCATTTTCTATATTGAGTAAACTATGTTCGGATAGATTGCGCCAATAAAATGAAAAACATGGAAAATCATGCTTTGAATGACGACCTAGCCTTAGTCAAATTTCTAATTACAACCTTTCTGCTACTGCAATCGCACCCACTGAACTGACTAGGGAGTATGAGCATTGATGTCTTATTGCCTACATCCTCTATTTTAGTCTTGGGATTCACGTTAATTTCCTACGATGTTGTGTTATTAAGAGTGACTTTCTCAAATTTTCACAGCGGGATAAAGATGAACACCTTAGCTTTGAGGCGCACGGACTGTATACTAGACATTTCTGTAGAAATTGGTGATAAGGTGAGTGGTGTCTCAATGAATTGGTCTTTGCTAGCTGACTTTTGAATTGTTCTTTATTCTGTCTTGGCATCTACGAATTTGATTCTAACGTTTTGCCAGGCCTGGACGCATCCGGTGAGTTCTGCCTCATTTGCGTTCCAGATACCGTTGACAACTTTTCGTGGCAAGATCGGTATGATTTCTATCCATGAGCATGAAGGAAGGAAGCTCACTCTATGGAGCCACTTCTTCCTTGTACGAGGTACGAAATTTTTCTTTTTTTTCTGCTGAGGTAACTTCAGAAGTTTAAGATCAAATCATGAGAAATGAGAGTCTGGTAGACCGTTAAAGTGAAAAATGCATTCCTTCTAAAAGATAGAGAAGCGTTGTCATTCTCAGTCTTGATGTTGAGAACTGATTTAAATGATATGTTGTTTCATTACCGAATATTTCGCCATGTCTGGGATAGACGTGGGAGTGCAGCGAATCGATGCAATGTTGTCCGGAGATTGTACAAGAATAACAGTTCCAGGTCAGTATAGCTAGCCTGCTGATTGTGTCCATTTTTGTGGCTAGATCAAAATTCATTTGGAATTCCATGCATTCTACTTTGATCAATGAAAGGTTTGGTCTGTGGCTCTATTGATTTTCATCAGATACAACTTAGATTCCTAGAACTCTTGCCATTATCGTGATGTTTCCAGGACTGAAGAAGCTACCTCTTTGTATGAAGTCTGGGATAGCTCCTGTATTTGGAGAAGAAAACTCATCTCTCCTTTCTGAAAGATTCAATAAGTGCGATTAATCGCATGCAATTGTTCGCGTGCAAATTCAAAGTTAGAATTGTTCTTGCAGGGACTGCATTGATTTCGTGGATCCCCACGATGTGTCCTCTGGTTAACTTCATTGAAAAAAGCTCCACCCTAAATCTTTATACGGAGCTTCCGACACATACGAAATTGATGTGTCCTGTAGTCTCAACCGACGTGGACAATATTTGCAGTATAGCAGGAGCTTTAGGTATGATAAACTTAAACTCCTGTTTAAGTTGGCGAACATTTCAGCTGTCAATGAATTTAATGTTCAATTTGAGAATGATAATGCAATAACAGACAAGTGTTGCATGCATTGCATTTCAAAGAGGTATATCCAGCATTTGAGGAGAAAAAATACTCTAAAAGCTCGTTCCTGAAGAATTTGGGTCTCTACATCCGGAATCAAATTGGAAGTTCTGATTGGCACCTCGTATTCGGTGTGCGTTTCCTACAAACGTGGCACATTCATTGCCTTGGATTTATGTTACTGTTCCTTAACATGGTTAATAGCTGGTTACGAACACATCTTTTGAAGGGCACAGAAACGGATTTATCCAACTTGGAGCTCCTTGGCACAGGTTATTTCCTCGTTTTCCACCGGCCACATAGTTTTCATCAAGCCACAAACATAGCATTGTGTTTTCTCTACATATTTGAAACTCTTTCATCTGGCAAAACAAAATTCTCTTGAAGTCATGATTGATTAGATTTATCATTTCTCAATATGCATCTTTTCGACGACGGTATCTGAGGTGTATACAGTTTTAAATTGATGAGCTTGTTCATTGTCTATGTATTAGCTCACGAATTTGCACCAATAATTCTTGAAGGGGAGCAGCAAACAAGATGTCACAGCACTGATATGAGCTTCTCTGGGTTCTCAAGGCAAACTAATACTCATGCAACACAAGACTTGCGACGCTCCACCGACATATTTTACCAAGATAGTTTGTGGCTGGACGCACATCAATATCTTCGTAAACTAATGGACTCACCTGAGGATGACTCAGGCTTTTACTACAACTGCACCACGCAACGTCGGTCGTTCAACGATATATTGATACAGTCCGGGCGATGGAGCAGGGACTGCAATGGACGTCTCATCCGAGATCACCCCTAATAGCGTAATTTCGACCTCGACAATTTACATACCACACACATAGGTATTGAACTGTTCGTGAATTCATGGTTTGACACGATTATCAGGTTGATTGATTCCAACCAGAATTCTTTAGATTCCGAGTAAAATTTGTCAAACGGATGTATACACCTTAATCAGCTTATTACTCTATACCATTTAATCTCACCACTTAGAAAAAACTCCAGATTCACAATTCTGAGAAGACGAGGCTCGTTGTTCATGCCAGATAGCCACGAAGACCGAGCCTCTTTAGGGTACAGTTCTACTACAAGCTGTGGTTTGACGAGTTTGAACTCTGACGACATGTGCCAAAACCGGGATATAAAAAATCGATTAGAGTTTAAATCTAAGAAATGGTAAAGAACAAGATGTTAAATGTTAAATTATATGTCTTCTTTAATTTGTATATCTGTTTATTCTTTATACTTTTCAATTTATTTTTATGATGGGGAATACATTACTTGTAGTTCATTGCTGAAATTCACATTTTTTGGAGCTTTTTTTGATCTTGTTTCATTAAATTCTCAATATATGTATATATATACTAGTGGATCTAAAAGCGTATAAAAAATTCTTATGGCCATAGGGCATATCCAAAAACTCTTATACATCAAATATGTGTTGCAGAAGCTTCTTAGATATTTTTTGATATTTTTTTCTTATTTTTATTTACTTCTATATGCTTTAATAATATAAATATGTAAGATAGTTTTTCCATATCAACCTCACAAAGACAGTAACAATATTCTTAAAATTATTATGTTCTATTTCAAAATAATATTTTAAAAAAACAAAAAACAAATCTTCAAAATTCCAAAGTTATCCTTCAAAATGCCTAAGAACATTCTTAGAGCTCTCCAAGTAGAATCATTGTAGACTTAATTAGATTAAATTGCAAAAGCTCTTACAATTCAAATTAATATTGTTGCAATCACAATTTTATGTTGCAAATAAATTCTATTAAAAGAATGCACTTGATAAATTAATACAATTATGTTGAAAAACTTATAGCTTGAAAAATATATATTATAGAAGTCAAAGTCTCTATTTATTTTTATTCTAAATAAGAAAAGATTCAATTTTTTTATCATGAAGTAGAATCACTCTACTAAATGATTTCAAATTTTTGTTACAATTCTTAAATAGTTCTATAATAATGTCTTGGATCTTGGTTCTTTTTGTAATATTTTAAAATTTTCAAAGTATTAGAAAAAAAATTATAATATTTTAAACAACTCTTTTGAGCTCTTTTTATGTTGACATGATACTCTTGAAGAAATCATTTAGTTTTTGAATGAATAATAAAAAATTAATAGAATTAAATTTGTACTTAAAGATACAAATTTCAAGCATAAATCTCTAATTTTAAGTCTAGCAATTGAAGTTGGAATGTTCTTCTTATATTCATCCATCTAAATATATTCATTCATTATTCAACAAAAGCAAGTTGCATAAACAATGTGTGAGTGGCAACATCAACGTGGGGTTGTTACTACAAAACCTATGCATGTAGTATTATTATGCGTGCATTGCCATTGCCATAGCTTTGTTTGTGACTCAAGAGTTTCATATTCTAAAGCAAAGCATTGTACTAGCTTCAGAAACTTATCTTATTTCCATTTACATTTTCATCAACAGAATCAAAGATCAAGGTCAAAGGTACACTTTGCAAAATCCAATGTCTATTGCCTCTCCTCTCTCACAACTCATAACATTTTGCTATGAATTGGAATGTGTTTTTGATATTTAGTACCACTCTAATATTGTAAATATAATAATATAATTAAAATAGTAATCTTATGCTATTTATGGTTTTTTTATTTTAACAAAGAAGACGGATTTTATTTGAGTATAGAGATTTGATAAGGAATCTTATAGCATATGCAACATCAAAAAAATCTTTTTAAGCTATAAATTACTTTATTATCTAAAAATATTTCTAAAATTTATAAAAAAATAAAAATAAAAATAAATCTTCATTATATGCTACAAAATCCATATCAAAATATTTCAAGCTCTTAATATTCTATAAGTATCTATATAAAAAATATTTGAATAAAAAAAATAAAAATCTATAGATACTTATAATGGCTTATAAATTAATGAAATAATGCATGTTGTCAAAAATCTTCAAAATATATAATATTTTCTAATGTTTATAATATTAATTGTAACTTCACTTATTTGATTGTAATAAAATTTAAGATTTGCCATACTACAATGCATTAATATATATATATATATATATATATATATATATATATATATATATATAAGTATAAATAAAAAAACTAAATACATTGTTCAATACTTTTAATGAAAATAAAGAAAAATATATGCAACAATGTGAAAATAAATTTCATCCCTCAATTCAAATTATAAGGTGGCTTTAATTGAAAATTTCTAATAATTAGTGGTATGAAGTAAAAAAAAGAAAATAACAAGAATAAAAGAAGAATAAATACAAAATAAATAAAAATAAATAAAATTAAGCAATTACATATTCTAAAATTTGGTCACAGATTATTCATTGAATTTTTATTTAATTAAAAAAAAATTTAAAAAGATATTTTTTTAATATTTTTAATGATATAAGAAACATGTAAATTCTAATTACTATGAATAAGTTATGAAAATTTGAAGATAACAAGTAAATAATTAAAAAATTAAGTAAAAATATTTTACATCAAGAATAATTTGTTTATAGATCAAGGATTTGAGCCTCACTAAGGCTCACATGTAGTGTATATGGATGTCGAAGAAAGAGCATGAGGCCTTAGTCTTATCCTCCTAACTATATTTAAAGTGCTACAACCTAAATGAGATTTAATTATCTTCCTTTCTACAAAGATTAGACTAGATGTTGGTCATTCTATTTTCTACTATTATAACTAATATTTTTATATTTTTGACTTCACCATGGTATTAAAAAAAAACTTGATTATCTCAAGAACCTTGTATGGCCTTCAAATCTTGCTCCATTTCTTCATAATAGCTTCCAAAGTGGTAAAAACTAAATTTTATCAAAGTCTTGAAATTTTCTCTAAAAATTCCTAATAAATTCTAAATAAATTTTAAATATTTTTTTAATATTTATATAAAATTAAAGCCATATTTTCTTATCTTAATAATTTTTTATAATAATAAAATAAATATTTTAAATAGAAATAAAAGTAGAATAAAATAAAAAATATTATTCTAATATTTAAATATAAATTTATATTATATTTTTTTATTTTATACCATCAAATTATTTTATTTTATACCATCAAATTATTTTAAGTTATTTATATAAGAAAAATACATTAAATTTTGCATTAGATAAAATTTTGTAATAGCTTTATACAATTTATAGACTTTATCATATTATATTTTATAAAAAAAAATTAATAATTTAAATTAATTATAAAATATATAAAAATAAATATTTTATTATAGATTTATTCTAATATTATTATATATAAAATAATAAAATCTTTTAATAGATTATTTGAATAATTAATCATATTGAGTGAAATTTATTTTATTTTAACTTAAAATAAAAAAATTTAAAAATTTACAAATTTAAAAATATGTGGTTTTAAAAAAAAATTATTAATATATATTAAAAATTTATTAGAAATTTTAAATTTTTCCTTAGAATTAATATATTTAGTAAATAGAAGTTTATTTGGAATACTAAACAATGCTCTATTAACAAACAAAATCCATTGTAAGTATTTTTACTTAGCCATGTCCAACTTGTCCAGCAATAATGTAATTAGATTCAAAGATTTATCATGGTTGTTAAGATTAAGTTAAGTTCAATTAACAAACTCATGCTCTATTATAATCAAATCTTTATCTTAGTTTCTAATTATATTTTTATTTTTAAGAATGCACAAATTTGTAATAATTTTTTTTATTATCTTATTCTTTGTTCAATAATACATGTTTGGCAATTATAGAATTTTATGCTACTACAATATGGTACTTCACCTTATTATCCTCAATTTGATTATAATAAGATATAAGTATATAATTATTGGCTTTATAATGGCGTTCAATCTTGAATAACAAATCAAGTGTCATATATACTTTTACTAAGATAGTTAAAAAGTATATATGTGACTAATGCTTAGGTCAAAATTAGTCAAAGATAATACTCTAAAATTGAATAAATATCTTAAATGAATTGCTTCTTATTGATATATGAATACCAGAATCTTACAAATAACTTCTTTAAAAACTTTGTCAATTTGTATGGTGATTTGGATTGCCAAGTGATTTGCTTAAGAATCTCTTAGCATTGCTATTTTAATTTATCATTTTCAAGTTAAATTGTCACGAATATATATATTTATTTCAAAAGTTATTTATATGATTAGGTAGAAGTAGGTAAATATAGATTAATTTCATAAAGCCTTCTAGACAAGCTTCTTAGAAGCTTTATAAATACTATCATATTACGTGTTGTCTTATTTAGGAATGCACCAGGCACCTAGCTATAGAAGGTAAGATTGTGTTTTACAAATATTCAAGAAACTCTAATAGATTTCACCCATATGAGAAGATTATAATTCAAATTTCAATTCAAAAGTGCTAAAAAACACTCTTCTCAGTAGCCTCAATCACATATAAACCTCAATTATCTTGTTACTTTCATATTTAAACAATTTAGATTTTTCTTATAAGCCCCAATCCTAATCAGTGAGCTTTAACAAGTTGTAACTTCTAATCTGAGTATTCACTTGATGTGAAATTTTTCATACAATTGTCAATGTAAGTCTTCTATACGCTCAAGAATTTTCAATCCAATCCAACTTACAAATTGTGAGAAAACCTCCAAAAATTGCATTGATGTCACTTCACCGCCAACTTGAAAGATAAAGCAAAAATCCCAAAAATGTTGCTCCTTCTCTAATCGTTAACTTTGAATCAAAATTTGTGTGCAGCTTGATCTTCAAATCCTTCAATACTATGCCAAATTTCCCCTTGATCCGACTAATAGATCTCTAGATATCATAGAAACCCTATCCAATTCCAAACTGTCAACTTCTGAAATCCTCTTGTACTAAAAATCAGATATCTCTAAACTACACTATTAAATTATTAAAAAATTTTGTATAAACTTAGCACACTCAATAATCCAAATAGCACCAAATTTTGAACCATAGATGTTACACCAATTGCACAAAATAGCCAAAATTACTAGCCCTAGTTATATTATATAAAATCCAAATCACCAATACAAACCTTAGTTTTGAATAATAATTGCTAAGTCTTTAAAAATCCTATGAAAGCAAGCCTTATGTTTTTAGAATCAAATCTAAGTTAGCTCTCAAATCCTAATCTTCGATCTTTAAGTAAAATCCTAATTTTT